TCTAAGGACAATCTGTCTAGACTATGGGGAAACTTACTGTTAAAGTTCCTATTTAAATATCAGTTATTTCCATCCTGGGATCCTTCTACAACTTGCCTTCTTTATCCTCATGATCTAGTGTGACCTCCTGGGACCATGTTTGCTTGTCATCAAATTTTTCTTCTCCATCCAGTTTATCCCCCTCTTCTACTTCTGCTCCTCCTGACCATGCTTCCTACCACCCTGCCCTTTTTTTTTTCTGTGTATTCTGGAGAGACAACTCTTTCCAAAGAAACTTCTGTACCCTCAACCTCCTTTTACCAAAAGCTGCTGACAACTCCCCAGTAAAATAATCCGCTCACTCTTTTTCACAGTAGAAGCCATTTTTTCTGTCTCACGACTCTTAACACACCAGAAAAGTGACAGGCATTCGCCTAGATCCCCGCTGCTTCTTAACATTATTCTCCACTGCCACATAAACTTCTCTTTTGAGAGTAATGCCAGCTAATTCTTGCTAGCTGCCCCCTTACTCAGTGCTCTTATCCCCCAGTTTTCAAATCAGTTTCCTCCACAACTCCTGCAGTCTTCCTGTCACTCAGTGACCCATCCAGTGACCTAGCGTCACAATTTTGGCTTTCCTCCACTGTGATGGCTTTACCACCATTCAGCCCCACTAAATACAGCCAGTCCTTCCCTAGACTCTCCCTTCTCCTTTGCCCCGTCGATGTCATCCATCTTCCAGTTTCCCCAAGGACGTTGTTTCCCCTGCCATTATGAAGCAGTCTCTGTCTTTATACCTTTTCCATCTCTGATCTCTGCCTTCTCAAAATACTCACCTCTTTTCCTCAATATCATCACCAAAACACTTCTTGGGTGATCAGTAATCATTGCTATCTTAATGGTTTAAAAGTGCTCGCAATTAAACACAAATGCTTTCTAGTTTCTAAATCCAACAGACTCTTTATGGCTTTTTCTGTAACAATGGATACAGGTACCTCTTTCCTGAAATTCCCTTCTGAGACTGCTTTCTTCGGGAGGCTGTCCGAGTTCTATGGCTTCACTTCTTCCTGCTCAGTACTCTTCTCTGTCCGTCCTACCAATGCCGGTGTTGTTTATGGTTCATTCCCCCACCCCTTTGCCGGCCTTTTTTTCTCCCTTGTCTGCACATGCTCCCTGGGTTACTTTTCCTTAGTTACAGGTATCATTTGCACGTGGAAAATTCCCAGACCTCTGTCTCGTGCTATAGCCCTGGAATGGCCTTTGCAGTGACATATGGTACCTTTCCAACCAGATGTCTTCTAAGTATCTCCAACTTAGCAAGCATTGCAGTCTTCTTCTCTACCACCTCGTCCTCCCATACTCACTATGGGGAGTCATTACTAAAACGTAATTCGCAAGTAAAGAAGTAATAATGGTGGTGATTGATTTTAAAAGAAAAAGAAAATGTGAACTTTTCTGTCTCTGTGCTGCTAAGCTGTCGCAGGCAGGCAGAATTTCTTGAAGTACAGGCTGGATGCTGATTGTCACGACCGATATCTCCCAGGATAAGCAATTCTTACAGCTCCTCTATCTTGCTGAAAATGCCTTTCAAGAATGTCTCTCTTTGTTCTTGTTTTAAGCTCTGCAGGCAACTTTCTGATACATAATTAGATTAAACAAAAAGGGAGATGTCTGTTACTCTGACTGGGATATAGCCGTTGTATACTCATAAAGTGACATTCTGGTTGGTAAATGATTCTCTTGTCAGTTGGCTTGGTGTGAGTCAGTGCCTGAGAGTTGGTGAACTCTAGGTGAACTGTTGAGATCAAGTTTCTAGATCTGCAAAATTGAAGACCAGGCTCTGGACTGTGGTGACTGAAAATAGACCACAAGCCTGAAGGTGAGACCCAGCTAAGGAGGTCAGCAGACCGTTCTTGTGGGTATATTTTTAGGTGTACATACTTGGCGTTATATATATTTGTCCCACACAGCGAATGTCATGGTACAAAGCATCAAAAAGTTGAATACTTGCTTGCTATTTGACCACAGATATTTAATGTGAAAAAGAGCAATTTTAAATGGACTCAGTCCCATAATGTAAATTTCTAGGAGACCCACTCTCAATCCCATGGTGTGTCATCACAAAGCCTCCATGGCATAAAACAGAATCAGAAATTTTAATATCTCTATTAATAGAAATATTAATACTTGTATTATTAAAAACAGAAACAGCAATAACAACAACAAAATGGCACATGGAGTGGCAAAACCTTAGCAGCCTCAAGAACAGTATACCTGCCATTTACAGAGTGTTTATTACACGATAGGTGCTTTGCCTGTTTTATTTTGTTTCATTCTCCCAACATCCTACGAGCTGCAAATTATTATGCCTAGCCAAGAGGGTTTAGGTAACTGGCCCAGGCTACACAAATAGTAAATGGTGAAGATCGATCAAACCTAAGGCATTGTTATTTCAAAGCCAGTGCTCTTACGCATAGTGGACATTTGCTATTTTACTGTTAACTGTTCAAACCAGAGGAGATAGTATGAAGAGTTAAGCTGTCAAAGTTTACATAAATCTCAGTTTCAGTTACACTATCCTTAACTGCAAATAACCACCCTTAGATGTCATCTACATGCTGCCTTAATAATTTGTTTGGGAATTCTAAATGAAATCTTCAGAAGAAGATATTTAAAAGAAAAAGAATGCATGTAACAAAACTGACAACTAAGATTCTTTGTGTTTATTTAAAAATAGTTTTGAAAAATAATCTCTCATGCCCTATTCCATAACTCCATGCCTACTCTGATGAGTATAGT